TCAGGTCCCACACTCTCCACCACCTGCTGAACAACTCTACCCGGATCTCTTCCATAAGAAACCACAAACTTAACATACTGAAATCTAAACTCACTTTCCTCTTTGAATCTCCTGAGCTCACACTTCTCTTCCCCTCTTGACTTCCCTATTTCTATTAATGGTGCATCCAACATCCATCCAATCAGTTGCTAAGTCTTGAAGCTTCTGCCTATGCAATGTTCTTCTGATCTGCCCCCTCCTTTTCATCCCAGTTAGGGTTCAGTCCTAGTCTGGACCAATTAGCTGACCTCTTGCCTTCCCCTCCTCCTCACTCCAATCTGACCAAACCGGTAGATTTATCTTCCAAATGCACAGCTCTGATAGCGTAGCTCCTCCATTCAACACACACACACACACGCACACACGCACACACGCACCCACGCCAAGCCGGCCTTGGAAGCCCTCCTTGCTCCAGGCAGCCTGGACAGCTCCTCGTTCCCTGTGCTTGGCACACGCCTTGTGGCTCTGATTGTGTGCTTTTCCTCCCACTTCCTTTCCTCTGAAAGGTCCTTCCACCATAACGGAAAAACTCATTCCTTTTATTCAAGACTCAACATTTTTGTTCATACGGGGATGAAAATATGCAGGTTGGTTGTCACAGGAATATATAGGTTTATGAGAATCTGGAGGGTGGAAACAAACTGGAAATGCCAAACCCAGGAATCATGTAAGATAAAAATGTATTTGGCCACTATTTCACGTGGAGGGGCTCTGAAACATATTGCGATGGGTAGCACTTTCCCCATCGTTTTTACTAAAAGGTTTGCTGTGAGCCAACACGAGGTTTATCTCAAACCTATGGATTTCAATTGTACTTGCACAGCTGTCATTCATTAACCGAAATGATCAAGAATTATCTATAGTTTAACCGTTTGGTGTTTACTATGATTATTTCTCTCTTAATGCTCTGAATCAAACTGGGTTGAGGGGGTGGGGAAAGGTGGGTGGTCAGAGACACAGAGCCCCTGAAGCCTGGTCTGTCACCACCATTGATGATCCCCATTCATCTTTGGGACACTGATCACAGGTGATGAAGATCCACCACATGCCCAGGATTTCTCCGCAATCAGAAGCAAAAAAGCAGAATATGTATCTTTTTTACATCTTTCTTCTGTGAGCCCTTCCCCAGTGTTTAAAGGAAAATAAATGCTTTAAGTACTTGCTTTCTTGAGGAGGAGAATCATAATGATAATCAGCAAGTGATTCAGTGATTCCTTTTCTTTCAAGTTTCGCATATGAGGCTGAAGTTTAGTAGTAAAGGAGGAAGGAATAGGCTGCCACAGCTGTGCAGTCACTGGCACCAACTTTCCCATGGACTTAAATTATTTGGAGTTATTGAGAGCCTGGATCCCCAGCCCGGGAGAGGGGAAAGAGAATGAAGTAGGGGAAAGCAGTGAGAGACAGCTGGCAAATGTGCATGTGTACTCAACCAGCCTGCCCTCTCTCTAATACAGAGATTGTCAATGAGTGGTCTGGAGACCGCTTCCATGAAAACCATTTGGGTCCTCGTTAAAAATGCAGATTCCTGGGACCTACCTAGACCTACTGAAGCAGAGTCTCTAGGGGGGCTGCCTGGGACTGTGCATTTTTTCGTGGTACACCCAGTGATTCTGACACACACTAAAGACTGAGGCACAGGGTTCCAGTGTTGGCCAGCCATGGCCTGCAGGCTGGATATGGCCTTCGAGCTAAAAATGGTTTTTACATTTTTGAAGGGTTGTAAAGAAGAAAAGAAAAAGAAAAAAAGAATACGCAACACAGCCCACAAAGTCTAACACACTGACCACCCTGCCCTTTACAGAAGAGTTTGCTGACCCCTGCCTAGTACACTGCAAATTAAAGGCCATATTTGCATGGAGGCCTATCCCAGCCCTGCCACAGCTAAGGTAACTGAGTGAGGAAATATACAACGCTGTCATCTAAAAATGCATTTGTGATCATTGTAAGTGGAGGGAGGAAATGTATAAATATAGTTACGGTGAACGTTCTGCAACATCCTTGAACATATGTTTTCATCCACACAAGAATCTATGAAAACGCCATGTGATTCCATCCCTCCATGTACTTATCAGATGGCACTATACCCCAAACTAGCCTATTAAGAATCATTGCACGGATACTCTTTACTGGACAATAATTGTCCCCAAACATATTTTTGTCACACACACGAGGAAGAAATGTGAACCTATACCCCAGAATGTCTGGAGAATGAAAATATTATAAATTCTCAAAACAACACATAGGAAATGATGCACAAAGGGAATAAAGGAAATAACATTGAATTTGGTATCTTCCTACTTAAAAGGAGTTTAAGAACATACAGCAGTCCCACCTCCTAAGAATCTTGGGAAGGAGGCTATGAACTCCCTTTGGGAAGGGTTCAGATATTCTTTGTGTGCCAGAGAGGCTCAGGGTGTGGGAACCACACCAGTTAGATTCATAAAGTAATCCAAAAGACAGATGCGATTCCTCTAGGGGTGGTTTCTAGATGTTTGCTCTAGATATTTTTTAAAAATGTGTTTATTTTTGATGTGGAGAAAGAAACTTTATTATAGAATCTAGAAATCAGTATTGGCTTTAAAAATATATTAACTTGCAAGTGACTTGTCTTTCAGAATTGTGAACTGAAATATCTCACAATAATTTTGTTTCCATGTTATTTTTTTCTCACAAAGGAATATTAAACTCTTACTAGTTAACTGACATTTTTTGATAAAGATTTAAACTATATTACAATCTTTAAGAAACAAAGTTTAAAACACCAGATAAAGTCTTGAAACCAAGCATGCTTCACCATTTAATAAAATTATGACTCATTTCAGTAAGAAAATGCTTTTTTAGTAAGAAAAATGCTTTCTGAGCTAAGTTTGAACTGCCGGGGCACATGGGACACCCACAAACCCAGTCAGCAGAAGTCTCAAACTCCTATAAGATTAAAGGAAAAATAAATTAGTGTGTACAGAGAATGAAAAAAAAAAATCCCCAATGGTACAAGGCTACAAACGGAAGTAAAACTAAAACTCCCCTAAAATCCCCCGATCATCGATCCTTATAAATTCAGCACTTATCTTCTCCCTTTATTTCTTCGGGATCCCCTAGTTAAATGAACACGCAAGTCTTCGATGATTTTTATCTCGTAAAGAGAGTCCTCAAAGGACATTAAGCACGGACAGCGACCTCCGTTTCACAAACTGTTTAACTTGTAAAACCGTGCAAGCAAACGCGGGGTTTCCTGAGTCCCGCCGGGGCGGGCTGTTTGGAGCCCAGTGGGTTCTGCGGGCGTGTCCCCCGCGCGCCGCAGAGCCGTGCGGGGCAGGGGCGCGCGGGGGCCCCGCCGGGCCGGGCCGGGAGGGTGGGGCCGGGCGTGTGTCCGGGTGAGAGTGAAGGGCATGTGACAATACGAAGGTGGCGCGTCGGCTCAGGTCTGGGAGGGGAGTGGAAGCTCCGCCGGGTGCCCCATACGTGAGCGCTGATGGCTCCAGCCCCACGCGGGTCTAAGCGTCCTTGGGCGCTAAGTTAAATTAGAGATGGTCTTGATGCTAAGAAGACCTGGCCAGACGTCCTAGGAAGATACACGCTCCCATGCCCTGCGCCCCTCCTAGTTCCCCCAGCCCCGCAGAGCTGAGTTTTGAACCCCGCGCAGCCCCAATCCCGGGTGCGGGAGCTCCCCGCCCCGCGCCGCCCCCGCGACAGTGGGTCGGGTCCCGGGAGCACGCCGAGGAGGGAGGCGGCAGCGGCGGCCGGGAGCGGGCAGCGCGCGGGA